AAAGGACTGTTTAAGTCTTCATAGGCGAAATTATAATCAAATTAGAATGGATCCCACTTTTGGTGTTTAGATATTATGGTTGACTTCAGGCTTCACAGAGGGGAAGGAACATCAAAGTAAAAAAAGTCGAGAGGGAGGGGGGAACAGAAGAGTGTCTCAATGATGTAAAAGAGACAGACAAAGGTAGAAAAAAGGCGAGGTGAGTACTGTGGAAATGATCGAATATGCCAGTCAGGTCATTGTAGATTGGAGTCAACTGCCGGTTAATAGGCCTTTTTGCCGTATGAGTATACGTTGCCCAGGGTGCACTACATGGAGGTAAGTCTATCGCACACCCCTGGTCAATAAATGTAAAACCTCAAGAAATGAGAATGGCAGAAAATTTAATATTAATAAAGTCTTATTATGACTCAACAGCCTAACTAGACTTTCCAGAGGGTCCGAGTGGACGTGAGGTAACACAGTTCGACCCAAGAGAAATAGCATACTTTGATACTTTGGTGGACATGTGAGTTCGTTAATGAGAAGTACGAGAATTCAGCTGAAATTTGTTGTGTAAACGCATGACGATTCACGAATTGAAGAGTGTATGAGTATTTTCTGGTGGTTATTTGAGTCTTAAAAGGGATTTTGATTGGCGCATGGTTTAAGATCCCCCAGCAATTCCTGGAAATAGTCGATCAAAAGCGAATTCCAAAATTTTAATGATGAAATATTTTTCGCTGTTAGCAATTTTTGTTCCATTCGTATTGACGGATAAGTGATACATTTTGTACCAGTCGCGTCGATAGCTCTCAGTTTGTTCATTTAAAGGTAATCTAATTCGGTATTCTATGGCGCCGATGGTTTTTGGGATGGATGAAGCATGATTGTGTTTGTTGCGTAAGTCTTCCTAATGTCCATCTTTAAATTGTGCAACTTTGACAATTGTGTAGTCGACTTTGTGCGGGTGATTGAATCGTTTGCTGGGCATACAGCGCTTTTATGTGAATGTGGGGTTTGATATTTTCTGACAGGCTTTGGTAGTGGGACGGATGGTGCTGTCATATCTATTTGAGGTATCTTTGTGACAGTAGTTTTTATCCACTCATTCTATGCTCAGTTTGGCGTTGAAAGTTAGTGTAGACTAGGGACCCAATTTCCGGAATAAATGTTAGTGTTGAAGCTACTACTAACTTCAACAAATGAGACTTAGCACCTTTCCAATATGCTTAATGCTTTTGACGCTGTTTGTGTTCTTTACTTTCTCTCTTGGAAAAAAAACATGTCTGAACTTGTGAATGGAATACCCTCATTAACTTCCCACAAGCAGATATTAGAGGTATAGCACACAAAATGTCTTTACACCACATACGCCTCGAATTTTGAATGATACATGGTACTACTGCTATTGCTACTCGAAAGTTCTGTTGACTTAGATATCCTCTCTCTCTCCCTTTTCTTTCTTATGGACTTTCGACTGTTTTCCTATTATCTTGCTTCGCAACAAAATGAGGAGAAAGTGTTTCCATGAATAAATTCTGAGAACTGGGCATTATATTTTAAAGATCGAAAAGAATGTAATATTGCTTAAATCAAAATTGAATCGGATTTGAACGCTATGAGTTCTATTGTACGATTCGGCTTCATATGCTATCTGTAAACAACAATGAACCCAGCTTCGTCATTATTACTATTGTAGGTTGAATATCACTACAATTCATCCGAGGGGACCGCATAGGTTTCTATGAGCGAGCAAGTTTCGTTAAATTGGTTTTCACCAGAATCTGCTCATACCCATTCCCCATTAGCCCAGCATTTTTATTAAAACATGGGCAATTTTTTTCTTTGTTTGGTTTTCAAAACTTTCACATTTTTGTCTAATGATAATTAAGTTGACGTCTGTGAATAGTCTCCACTCAGCGAAAATTGCAATATTCAGAAGTTAAAATCATGTGAGTCCATTGAATTTGCCGTTTGATTATCTCTTTCTGTGAATTTTCACGCGCAATTCATGTTACTGCACTTAATTTCTGCTTGACGGCATGCAAATACGGTTTGACTCAATAGGGGGATTTGGGGGGGTGGGGGGGGGGTTGATTAAAGATGATGGTTTTTTAAAGTATTGATGCACTTCTTCATCTTATTGCTGATTTCAAAAGAAATTACTTTAGTAAAAAGCCAGTTAGACATTGGTTCACATTTTTACTGCTACGATTTTCTTAGGTTTTTAGCGCCTTTGCAAGCGGAGCAACTTAGGAGGGCTTTTCACACTAATACATCTTGGAGTCATGATTGTTTACATTTGAAGTTGTAGTCACCGTGATTACCACCTTGCACGAATACGATAGGCAGTCTTGACGTTTGCCAAAGGTGCATTAAGTAGCCTTACTCATTTAAAGTTAAAAATGACAATCTTTTTAGTTAAATGAAGACGATTATTCTCCAATTGAATTAATTTTAATATAACGAGGTAGACTATTCCGTTTCATAGGTCTGTATTTTAAAAGTGTAAGCCACTTCCTACATCTCCCCCTTATTGATCCCAGTTCCTCTTGTTATTAGTCCAAATGTTTGCTATTTGATTTTCCCTTCTTACTCAGCCTTTACTGCCACTATCTCACTTTCGCTTCTACCTATAAACTAACTGCGCCTGCTCCACAGATCGATGCACCTAAGTGTGAGTATTGAGTTCTCAATAGTTGTTCACTTGCCTTCCACTATCGATATCTCGTGTACCTGTTTATCTACTCAATTTTCTCTTCTTACACATACCTACCAGGTGTGTTTTACTACAAGCATCCACAGTACTTCATTTGTCATTAATACTTATTTTCCTTTCCCTCCCTCGCTTGTAGCTGGGACAACAGCAGGTGATACAACCGATGGATCTGGAGTTCCAGCGGGGGGAGGTGGAAGCAATGATGGTCCACGTTTCCTACCCCTCGTATCCTTGCCAATGGGTTACGTAAATCAGTCTGCCATCAATGCAGCTGCTGCTGCCGCCGCCGCTAGCAAGCCGTCGACAAATGGTGCCACGTTTGGAGGCCTGTCGACCAACAAGTCTCAACAACAGCAGCAGCAGCAAACCCGATCTGCCAGACAACAGAAGTCCACGACTGCTGCCGACCAACAATACCACGTCGACCCCAACTATACGGATGCCAACTACGACTACATTGTTCGATCTGGAGAGGTCTGGATGAATAGATACTACATGGACAGTCTCATTGGAAAGGGATCCTTTGGACAAGTAATTTTTCTTACTTCCTCTCACCTTAGATTGGGGCTTTTGAAAGCCGTTATTTCCTTATACGTATCGAGTTATAGGTACCTGAGGAGAAAGATAACTTCTGTCTCACGTGTCTTTTTCCAGTGTGGTTATTTACCAAGTTTTTATTTGTGCAGACTAGCTCCCCATTTAAGAGATATATAAAATTATTTGAACCTCAGTAATGACTGGAAAGAGGGGCACCCTGTTATGCATTGTTTCATCAGGAGCTATTTTTGTTGAATGTAGGGTTTTTTTAAGTCCTTTGAAAGGCTATTTATAAGTCAAATCAAATGATTCAATTACCGAGTATTTTAATACTGGAAATAACTCACATGGGCCTTTTATTTGAGATTCAAATTGTACTTAAGCATCCGGCAAAACTCTCTCTCGAACCACTCTAGTCTACTTTTTAGAACCCGTGGTCTCTTGGCATTGGCTGCGTTGACCTGAACTTCTAATAGTGGTCCACCATCACCTTTCCTTTCTTGAACATTTCAGTGGCCTTAAAACATTTCAAATAAAATTATTGGAAACTTTCGTATTTTTGTGGCTCGTATGTCGATTTTTGTTGCCAAACACTTTTTTATTCCTATAAGTGCGTGGAGAAGATAGTTTACTTGAAGTGTGGTTTTCTTTCATTTGCCATCTCCACGATCTGGCTAATTTGATTGGCAAATGTCTTATGATTCTGGTTTATGACTGTCATAAATAAGCCTTGCAGTTGGTGAAACTGCCTATTTCATTGATCCTCTCCGCACGTTAAATCGTATGGCATTGCAAATGAAATTTCGCCTTGTCGAATTATTGATTATTCAAACTTGACTTCTCATCGCATACCTGAATCTAACCTTAGTTAAGTTCTTATATTTCACTAGCATTTCAGTCAAAGCACGGTCTATCAAAAATTTGCAAGGGTTGCAACTGGTCGCGTTATTTGTTATTACCTCACTAGTTAACGCTTAACTGTTTTATCATCGTTTATGATGTTCCATGCCACACAGTGAATCCGATGAAAAACTCTAATTCAAACATTTTTTCAAGTCTGAGTCATAAATCCACTTCACGATTGCTACTCTCTCACTTTAGCTATAGCCTGTTATAATTTATACATTTTTTTAATCTTTATGATTAATTTGAAGGAAAACAACGAGCGATTTGTTCAATCGAGTTCAGGGGTAAACGAAATGTGCGTTTTTGTTCATGCTAAAACATCTTGAAGCTATAACTGTCGATTTACTGATATTGGAATTAAACTGGGGATCACATGAAAGCAGATAATAGTGTTACTTCATTTGGTGCACATTGGAAATTTTTCCATCGGATTTTCATATTTAGGCTCCATCACGTAGGTTGCTGAGTGATTGTCTGCCTCTGTGGTGTTCAAAACTACTTGAACTGAGTGGTCAGTGATGCCATCTAGATGTTCTTGTCTCTTTTGATGGTCAAGTAAATTTCGTTGGGCACCAGTCTGCTGATGGTGAACCACTTATTTTCCCCACAGTTATTAAAACTCATTTTCTATTCTGTGAAATTTCTGGTCAACTTTTTTGTTTTTTTTACGGAAAGTGCACACACACACACATTGTACGTAGTGAACTGTTATTGGCTAGATTGCAACACTGAAGCTAGTGGCGTGAGGTGGCTTAATGCTTGGCAGCTGTGGTCGGGAGATAAGAATTATCTCTTGTCACAACGAATAATCTTGTTTTGATAGACTAGTTCGAGTGCTTTACTTCCATTATATCTTATGTGGCCCCCTGAAATAATCTATAGAAGTCAGAATTCAAGAATAACACGAGAAACTTCAAATATTTCACAGCAAACCCCCCCCCCCCACAGACACAATATTGGAACATTTTAATTAAAAAAATATAAGTTATGCAAATAATTGACAACAAACTTTTATGTAATTTTTCTTGGATAAAAGTATTCAATTTTAATCAATGTTTTCCTTATCATAGCTTTCTAATCACCTCACTAATCATCTTGAAGACAAAATTTTCCCTTTCATTAATGTGTGAACAGACTCTGCGCCTCGTTTTTAGACACCTTTATACATGTCTGAACTAACATCTGTCGCGTTCAGCATCACGTGTGTGTGTGTGTGTCTGTGTCTGTAACTGCCGTAAATTGATGAGACGGCTTGTGGAAGCTCTGGCTTACGATGCCCCTCTTTTGGCCTCTATTGTCACATTCGTAGATCTCTTTGCTTTTGTTTCAACTCTGCTTCCGTGCACTTGTGTTTGTTTTGCACAAATAAGAAGTGTACAAGAGGGAGTGATTGAGTGCTGAACTAAGCCATACCGATTGCCTTCGAGATATCAGTTGACTGTCTCAAAGTGAGAGAATACACAATGATCTTCCCCATTTCTACGTCCGCTTAAATCTCCGATCAGTAGGGTTTGGTTTGCTTGTGGCTAAGAATCGAGGGGGGGGGGGGTTTACTTCCTGAGATACCTATGGGAGGGGGGAGTTGACTTAGAATGGGGATGAAGTCAGTGAAATTAACAGTACGAATAGCTGCATGTCTTGCTGTTGCACCGAGTGCGCGCTGATTTATGGCTGTTCTGCAAAAATTGAAGCAGATCTTTGCAAATATTTTTCTAATAATTAATTAACCCCTATTTCAAAGGAAGCAAACTTTATAATTGTCATTGATAGTCACTTGGCAAAAATGCTTCTCGAATGGGTGCATTAACCGTGTTCTGAAACTGTTCACGTTACTAATTTGTCCCCATTTCAATTATCCGTAGCAAATTTGAGTACACGGGGAGACACACGGCTTGCACTATAGAAGAGATTGGCTAAGGAAGCGATTTTCACTGCATCTTTCAATATCACATCCATTGAGGAGAATAGTAAAAAAGACCTTTATTTAATAGATGTGACTTTAAATTGCCACCACTTTTGTTTGAAAAAAACAAAAATGCAATTCTTAATAAAAGCGAACGATGGCATTTATTCATTTTAACTCGATTGTTCTGTGTGGTTGTAGAGTGATATTGGCATTTTATCTATTTTCAGCCATGCATTCTTCATTCAATTTTATCCGCCTCACATGGTCGAAATTCTAGTCCTCAAAGCTTATTTATTTCCTCTTACATGTGAAAATGCGTGCATCGTACGGACTATATAATCACTAATCTTCTTTCATCTCTAAAATGTGTTAGTTATAAAAAGCGTCCTCACTCTAGTGCATTGCACGTTCGCACTTTTTACTGGAACCACCCTTTTCCAGTCCACACACACGATTTGAACGAAGTCAAAATGCTGCCTTTTGTTTTCACACTTGTTCTTAAACAGCATTTGTTTATGTTGGCCAGAAAAAATCATTTTTGTGTCTCCTCAATATCCGATGGATCGCCGATTATGAGGAGTAGAGACTGCAAACTACTTCCTCTTTATCGGTTTTGAGATTAAAATTCAGAGAGAATTTATTCTGAATCCGTGAATTTCATCGTGATGCCTTATAAGCCCATACTGTGATGTAAGATTTCAAATTATCTAGCTGCCAAGCATTCATTTGCTTGACTGCCTTAGTCATTGCATGCATGTGCCTTTTATTTCTAGAGATTGTAGAGATTTAGAAAACTTAAGATAAAGACAATAACAATTATGCCATTGCTTTAAGACAAGTACTGGTGTAGTAAAATGCGCACATTCTCTTTCTTGCTCTCTGCTCAATAGTTCCAGTCTCGTGCTCCACAATTCCCCAATTCATGTTGTATCCTTGACTATGGATGCTCGGTGGTCTTGTTCATCGAGTTTCAAAACTTTGGAACGACTTGTCTTACATGCATCTTCCGTGCTTGTGCCCTTTTGTGTGTGCTTGTATGCTTGACAGCATATGCCTTTCATACTCAGATTATTCGAATATTTTAGCTTCTCCTTTCACTTTCCCATAAATCATTTTTTTTCTTGAAAAAGTATAACTCATTATGGGATCGTAGCGCTATCCCCCCACCCCTTGGAGAACTTGATTGTCAAATTAATTCAAGGCACTTGAGCTTCATCTAATCACTTTGCTTGACTTAGTTCCACTCTATTATTGCTATTGCGTCGTATATTTGAAGACTAATTTAATTAGAGTAAAGTCGGGAAATTTATGCAGGCCTTAGTTTAAACTTTTTGTGCTTTCATTTAGCAAACTCGATTAACTGTGCACTTTGTTCGTCCTGGCAGGTTATGAAAGCCCGGGACTTTGTTGCCAATGCGGATGTTGCCATTAAGATCATCAAGAATAAGCGTGCTTTCACAAACCAGGCTCGTGAGGAGATCCGTCTCCTGACTAAGATGAACCATCTACAAGAATTCAATGCCGCCGATGGCTCGAATTCCAACCAGGGTGCCAATTACGTCGGTAAATGCCGCAAAACTACTTACTTAATCGATTTTTATTAAATACTGATTCGCTTTTCCCTATTAATGTGAGAGATGATAAAGGTACTGAAATAATAAATGAAACAGTCGAGATATGACCTTTACACGCTAGTTTATTGGTCGAAGAAATAGAGAATATATGTATTTCCGCTTATGTCTTTAAAGGACAACATTACTTCTATTCTGGTTAATGAAATATATTCCTCTATTGTGGAACGTTGTAAGGCTTCGAGCGCTTTTCCACTCTTCCATCATTAGCTCGAGTTTATGCTATTCTCTAATGCTACATTGCAATCGTTGCACAAGAAAAAGTGGCTTTTGATGTTTTTGGTATACCAAGGAGAGTAACTCTTCTACGTAAATGTATGTTCTATTTCGCAGTCATGTGTGCCCTATGTCCTCATATCCCCATTGTTGCTGTTGCCCGTAGTTTCTTGCCTATTTCAGTCTCATATAACGCCGCATCGACATATTCGTTTAGGTCAATGAATCATCGGGAAAATCCATTATACATCTACTTGTATTCTTTCTTTCTGCCGGTTCATTTTGGAAATCTTCCTGTGCGTTAGTCGCTCTTTGCTGCATGTGCTGCTCTTCTCACTCACTTTCGTTTGAATTAAATTGCAGGCCTATATAATTGCTCATAATCACCGTTTCTATCCTGTCGTTAACTTCCCTTTTGATATCAAGCCCTAAGCTAAGGCATGTAGCCAACTGTTGTCTATTAATTAAATGCAAAGTGGATGCCTCTATTTCATTTAATCCTGAATTCCTGATGAGGAAACCAGGTTGGGTGCTTTTTTTCGTGCACATAAACGAATTTCACATGTTTGTGTCATGTATTGATTTATTGTGCATTGGCCTTCCTTGCTCGTATCTGTTGGTGCGCAATCTGACTATACCTTCATTAGCTTTGTAAGCTAATTTTTTTTTCTCTAGGCAAACGATGCATTCTTTTTGAGCGGCTACACTCGGTGTCTTGGCATTTTGTGCTGTCATTGTGACAAGATGACATTTTAGTGGACCGATTAAGGCGACTAAATTTCATGTTTCAGCGTCACTTTAAGCATTACTCCAAGTTATTTGATTTGGATATATTTTCAACAACTTCTTGGTAGTCGCGCATACTTGTTGGAGAAAACGTGCAATAACTCTATGAATATGGAGCTAAGCTGTTTGGCTAGTAGATATGCTCTGCTTTTTAACGCAAACAGTTTATACTTGTTTATTGAGCCCGTTCTTACTGAATTTTAAAAGAAGACAACAAAATTGTGATTGTCGGCTCCTTGTGCTTTTTTATTATTACCTTGGTTATTCACCTGGATTCAGTCGATTACTCCTGAAATTTATCCACCGACAATAGATAAATGTGTTTGTTGTTCCCCATCATAACAGTTTCTTTATAAAAAAGCTTGATTTTCTCCCTTCCTTGTGTAGTGCGATTATTGACCCACTTTATGTTTCGTGGTCATCTGTGTCTTGTCTTCGAGTTGCTCTCACACAACCTATACGACCTTCTTCGGAACACCAATTTTCGAGGCGTTTCACTTAATCTCACCCGCAAATTCACCCAGCAGCTCTGCTCCGCTCTGGAATTCCTCTCTCGACCCGACCTGCAAATCATTCACTGTGATCTCAAGCCTGAGAACATTCTTCTCATCAATCCCAAACGATCAGCCATCAAGTTGGTTGACTTTGGCAGCTCCTGTCATGTCAACGAAAAGGTCTATCAGTACATCCAGTCGCGGTTCTATCGATCGCCTGACGTACTCCTTGGTCTTGATTACACCATGGCAATTGATATGTGGTCGCTGGGATGTATACTTGTGGAGCTGCATACTGGTGAGCCGCTTTTTGCTGGACAACATGAGGTACGTCTTTCGGTTACTACTTTTATCTTATTCATTAGTATTAGATGCGAATGTCATATAAGTGTTCCCTATCTATGTGTCCAGTAGTGGAAATCAATCAAATCTATGTCTTTGTCTTTAATTGCCCTTTAACACGAGGGTTGTTTTTGATTCGATTAATTCTCTGGATGTTCCGAGATTTCACTCTAATCAGACCACTTTGACATTAGCAACTTAGAATTGGTGGTGATTTACTCTCACCATTTATGAACGTGCTTCTTGTCCCTATTTCTCTTTTTCAAACATTTATTTATTTCAAATGGCAGGCATTTTGATAGTTATCATTAGCCCTTTAGTTGACTTCGGGCTTCACAGAAGGGAGGAACATTAAAGTGAGAAAAATTCGACAGGGGGAAAGAAGAGCGATTCACAGATGTAACAGACAGACAGACATAAAGGCAGAGAAAAGGCTAGATGAGTACTGTGAAGGGGTCGAATATGACATACAGTGGGGTTATGGAAGTTTGAAGTCAGAGGTCAACTGCCAGTTTATAGACTTTTTGCCGTATGAGTATAAGTTGCCCAGGGTGCACCACGTGGAGGTAAGTCTATCGCACACCCCCTTTTCCAAGCATAGTTATTTTCATTATCTATGTCTCATACCTAATTGCTACCGAGATAGGAAGTGATCTTGCGAAAAGTGTGATCTGTATGGCGGTACCAATTGATAAATCGGGTTTAGACAATATGTAGAGGGCCGCATTTTTCGTGTGGTTCAATCTTATTTCGCCTAGTAAGGCCGTTTGAACTTGCACCAGTGATATCTTTTTCATTCGCTCCATTTTTAAAAGTTGCTTTCTTAATTCTCAAAAACACGAGATCGGTGATGTTTAGCGTGTAAATACATGCTTCGACTTCTTTCAAATCGGTTTATGTATATTTGAAGTCATCTTTTTGATCAATCCTCTCGTTGTCTAGGTTATCGTGCAAGTTATTTTCAATTTAATTAAGAAGATTCGAATGAAATATTTTTGAAAAGCGGTGATAAGGGTATTACGTTATTTGCTCAGGGAAAGTAGTTTTCGCTTCCGTTTCCAACTCTCAAGTGTTCACGCAGTCGCCCTTTTCGTTTACTGGCAACGCCTCTTGCTGCTAATGTTTTCTGATCATAACAAAATTCTCTGACCCTATTGTCGATTTAAGTGCTGTCAAATTATTAGTTATGGCTGACCCAGAAATTATCTACATTTGCCCCCTTATGAACGGTTAGTTATGCGTCAAAAAAACAAATGTCATGCTCATAAATCTTCTGGTCTATTTTGTATTGTAACCGATTGCCATACTATGTGGCAGTGCTGATAAGTGGAGAAATTCATCCACTTACTCAGAATTAGCTACAACGGAATCTGCAATATAGCACATTTAGTTTGAAATTAGGGCTGCTTCTGTGTATGCAGGCGCGCTATCCTCATCCATTTCGTCTATTTTTCACCTGAATGATTCAACTTTGCCATCTTGGGACGAACTTTTTATCTCTCGACTTGGTTTGAACCATCTTTTGGAAGTCAGGTAAAAAAACCAACTGGATGTGCTGCAATGTTTTTTAAAACGCTTGGTTGATAACTCCTTGGCACTTTATTTTCAAGAATTATCTCTTATTTTAGTTGGACCAAATGCTGAAGATAATCGAGGTCTTAGGAATGCTGCCTTCTTACCTCATTGAGAAGAGCAGGCGCTGGCCACTTTTCTTTGAACGCGAGCCCGGTGGCAATTTTGTGCCGAATTATAAGTCCTCCATGAAGGATAACATTCCCGTAAGTGTAGAAGTATATCTACTCAAAACAAATAAGTAGGTAATACATTGGCTATTAGTTTCTATCGTCTTATTGATCAATACTGTCATGGCGTTTTCAAAACTCAATTAACGCATTATTTGTTTGAGTGTCTATAAGCAAAGCAATGCATGTCGTCATTGTTATTTTATAGAATTTGGTGGTACCTTATTGAGGCCATTGAATCGCATCTACTCTCGAATATAGCAGCTTTTACATCCCTTATTTGATTTACATTTGAACCTATGTCGTTTTGTTTTTATCTGTTTCGCTTTATCGATTACTGTGTCTCATGAATTAGACCACCTTATGGCTTATAAGAATTACATTTCATATTATCCACTCGGTGCACTTAAGCGCGCATTTAGTGAATTCCATTGAGTTGGCTGTCTTGACAGCTTGCAATAAATGCATGACTGGTTGTATTTACCAAAACGACGTGAAGAGTAAACTCCATTGTAACTTGTTTGGAGATTGGGTGTTTCGCTGTAAAGCAAGATTAGTTAGTTAAGGGTGGTGGGGGGGGGGGGCCAGTTTGTCCACTGGAATTGTATCTATATGAAGTTAAAATGTATGAACATCATGGTGTGGCGGTTATAACCACATTGGGTCTGCTATGACTTCTCCTCATCAACGCGGTTGCATTTATCTCCGTTGTAGGTGATCTAACCATTTCTTACAATCCCGTTGGCTCACGTTCCAATGTTTTGGTTAATATCAATGGTCTACGGCAATAATTCTGCAATTTAATAGTTTGCTTATATGTTATCTTGGTAGTATTGTGGTTTTTATTATTTTGAAATTGGATGGTGTTTATTTTTTATGTCGAGGCAGCTTATAATTTTTGACAACTTGAGATTCAAGCGAATTGTAATATAATTAATAAATAGTAGGTTACTGTACCCCAAAGACAGGAATAGAACAGACTGTATTAAAATAATTGAAATTTGTGCATAATAGTCCATTTGACTTGTTTTCGGCCAAAATAATGAGCCCTATCAATTAAGGGGTTTTTTCTTTTTGGCTAATTGAATTACCAGCTGACTTTGAACTCTAACAATTAAGTGCAATGAGTTATCTCTTTCTTTTTCATTTTTGTGTCTTCTCGGACTAATTTTCTTCTGTTTTGTTGGATATATTTTTCTAATCAAATACATCCCTCAGAACGATAAAACTAATTGACTTAAAAGCCCTTAAAAGTTTTCAAATGTGTATTTCCTACTTGCGCATTTCCTTGCCTGAATGCCTTTGGACGAAGCGTGTCCGAGTGAGTGTGTGTGTACTTTTACCATTTTGTTTTGATTAATTTTTCTCTCTTGCGCATTTTGGCAACAATTCGTTCAATTCAGGCAACGTGGGTGAGAAGGTGGAAGAATAAAGACAGGAAAAAGCCCTTTTCGCTTCCCCCTATTTTAGTTGTCTATTTTTGTAGAGCGGATTGAAGAGAAGAATTTATTGTGAACTGAGAAGGCATACGGGGCGCGTCATCAATCCCCTTGCGCCTTGTAGTTGATGGAAGTGTTTTGCTATTTCTCTCAAAAGTCGGCATATCTCTTTTTCATCCAGTGCTTCAAAATTGTCCGAAACATTCTCTTGTGACTTTATCGAGTGTTGTGCTCAGTCGTAGACTTCTTGCCTCAATGCCGATGGATAAGCAAGTGATTGTTAAAGTGCCTCCTACGACTTGTTCGCCTTGACTGAGGGTTAAAGAATAAAGTAATTTATTCCAACTCGAACATCGAAAGGTGGTGGTATCTGATGATAAGCCAAATTTTCACTTTATTTCAATATTTACGCATTCTTTTCGCAAACCTTAGCCCAATCGTCTTGTTCTAAATTTCTTTATGTATTCGATATTTGGCTTCTTCTCCTTGTTTGATTTATTTCTCGCTTTTTTTCTTAGTGATGCTGAAAAATAACGTTTTTGTTTCCTGTTTGTTCCCATGTTCTTCTCAGTCTCAGGGAGAACGACCTCGCCCTGTTTACGTTCGACTCGCGCGACATTTCTCCTAATACATCGGTTTTTGAAATGCCTAATGACGCACTTTCGTCAGACTTGTGTCTACTGCAGTGGCTGGAGTTAGTTGATTTACTACCCCCATCTCTGCCTCCACATACCCCATCCGTCTGCTCGTATAAGACAGAATTAATTTTCGAGGGCTTTGTTTTGTTTCTCTCCTTACGTGCTGCTGCACATATAAGCTGCGCTTAATAACGTTGTCTTAAACTGGTTTATATCGAAGTTATTACATGGCGTCTTTACTTTTTTTCACTTTACGACTAATCTATGTGAAGGTCTTTTGAACAACAACCAACCATTAATTACCTGCAGTGTCTTGTTATCGACCAATCAGTTGAAACACCGAGAATTTATGGCGATTAATTCTAATTGGCGTAGTGCGTGGTCCTCAATCGGAGGATTTCTAGGTTGTCTGCCTAAAGCGGGTAAATTGCTTCACTTATTATCACACTAATAATAAGAGTCAATAGTCTGGTTATTGATTGGAGGGAAATGTGAGAATGCGAGTCTTCCATTTCGCTTCTGAGCAAAATGTTGAGCAATTTCCTGCTTTATTTTTATAAGTATTTATCCTTGACAATTCCAAATTTTCCTTTTGAAATTCCAATCGTTATCACCATTGGTCTCACTTTGTTTCTTCCAACAAAATTTCAAGCCAAAGTCATGCATTAAGCAAGGAGAATCTAGAGCCTTGTGTGTGTAAAATGTGTTATCAAGGCAAGAAAAATGAAATAGGGAAACATTTAATACCAGGATTTTTAGATCTGATGTATTTGAACTATATCGCAAACTCACCCTAATGTGTATATTTGTTCGTATTCGTTTCTTGTGTACTTAAAATTTTGCAGTGGTGCAGATGGAATGCACTGGCATTCTGAACCTGATTATTCGTATATTTCTGTCCCTTATATTTGCAGATAAGCTACAAGGCGCCAGGAACGCGAAAATTGAATGATATCCTGGGAGTTAACAGCGGGGGTCCAATGGGAAGGCGCCTTCAGGAGCCTGGCCATTCCCCCCACGACTATGCCATTTTCATGGATCTGGTGCTGCAGATGTTGACTTACGATCCTGAAAAGCGCATTCGTCCCTCAGAGGCCCTAGCACATCGGTTTTTCTGTCGCACCACCACCGCTGTTCCCACACACCCCCAGACGGTCCTTCGACAATCCTCCACCCAACATCCAGTTCCTCCACAGACCCTCTTGGCAAATCCAGATGGTCAGTCTCCTTTTAGTTCTATAAATTAGTAAACGGGGAAATTGTATTCATTGTATTGGTTTAATTCATTTGGAACGATAATATGTCGCCTCAACCATCCCTCCATTTTATAACATTTTCAGGAATAGGTTGTGGTGTTAGTTTATAAACTGCCATTTAGACTGAAGTCGCTTTTCTTCCTTAATCAGTACTCTTTACGACGTAATCGTCCTAATGTTAGGCACGTTTGATTTAACAAGCATTTAGGCTGAATTCATCTTTTCCGTGGCAATTTTCTTACAATGCAAAAATGTGAGTTCCGGAGTAGAAGACTTCAAAGCATTTCTCGTAGTCACCGCCGCCGCCGAGTGTCAGAGTCAGACACTCACTTCTGAGTGATGCCATTAAGAGACTGCAAGATGGGCAATATAATGTTCATAGCACTTGTGGTGTCAATTGCACATCGTAGCGCAGTCGTAAAAGGAGTGGGACTTGTCTCGACTTTTACGAATGTCTCTTGTGCACACGTGCGAATGCGTCATCTTTCCTTTGACGCTAGTCCTTTTTTCCCATAGAAATATGCTCCACTCTTTAATTTCTGCTTTGTTGAGGTCTTTTGAGAACTGCTTGTGGCATTATGGTTCTCCCTCTCCAGTAACCATCTTCGATCGCGAGACTTTCTTAGAACTTATCTTGAACATTTTACAATTTCTTATAGGTCCACTTCCACAAAGGGAACAAAGGTAATTTTTTAGCCATTGGTTCTTCCTAGATTTGCTATTTTCAGAAAAGTATAATTTGGATGCTATTTTAGACTGAGGGATAATGGAGCGTGAACATACACCAATGATTTTGAATTAATTAGTTGATGTAACTGGGCGGAGAGAACGAATGAGGGCGAGGGGAA